TTTGGTTGTCACAGTTTAAGGAAGGGTGCTGCTGGCTTCAGACGGGTAGAAGCTAGAACTCCAGTGCACAGAACAGTCTCCTCATAGCACAGGATTATTTTGCCCAAGGTGTCAGCAGTGCTGAAACTGAAACCCCATTCTGTTGGTGAAACCCTACTCTATTTGGATGAAAGGCACATGGGCTCTCATTCTTTGGGCTTTATTATTTAATTGTTTTTTTTTTAAGATTTTATTTATTTATTTGACAGATACATAGCAAGAGAGGGAACACAAAGAGGGGGAGTGGGAGAGGGAGAAGCAGGCTTCCCACCGAGCAGGGAGCCCGATGCGGGGCTCGATCCCAGGACCCTGGGATCATGACCTGAGCCGAAGGCAGATGCTTAACGACTGAGCCACCCAGGCGCCCCTTAAAATTGTGTTTCTTTAGAGTGTATCATCTTTGTTATGGCTCCTTAAGAATGCTGGAAGAAATGATCAAACTTTAATTACCGGAGAACATAATTTTAATGGGTTTGATGTTCTATTAAGGAAGCAAAGGTGTTTTTTTTTCCTTGTTGAAAGAAGCTATTTGGCAAATTAGTTACAAGACAACTATTAATGGTTATCTGAAGGTTCTTGTTGCTTTTTCAAGAATCCGTATTATAAATATGAAGGGAGAGGATGAAAACTGGAGCTGTCATCTTGCACTCACCATAAATAACTTGAGATCTGAAATCTTCTGTCACAATCATAATTGTACACAGCTGCTTTCAATACAAGCAACTAGCGTGATGGCCAGTGCCAGGATAGAACAGGCTCTCAATAAATCTTTAATGGGAAGATGGATAAATGTAAGGTTTACCTGTCATGGCCACAGATAGTGTGCCTTGCAAGTCAGGTGACATGCCTGATCATTTACCTGCAGGCCCTTTTCAAGTTTGCTCTCAGACTTCAGTGTAAGTACTGCCAACGCCTTGCCCCCTCTTCTGAGAGTATAATAGTAATAGTAGGAAAGTTTACTGACACTTGGTGTAAGTTAGTTGGGCTAACTTACTTAAAATACATAGGTACACTTCTGTCTTACAGGTAAGAAAACTACGTGTGTGTTTCACAGCAAAGCTGTGCTTTTAACTGTTGCAAAGTATCTGATAGTATAATTTCGTCCTTGAGAGTTGAACTACCTAAATTTGAATTCTGGGTGTTTATTATCCTCTTGAGAAAGTTACTTAACCTCTCCCCCCGTTCTAAAATATGCCTAATTGTGTGTCTTAAAAGAGTTCGTGGTTTGTTTGGAAAGACAAGAAGAAAGACATGAAATCTGACAGACATACCAAGTAATTGCTAAATGATATAATAGAAATTATAGATGTAAATAGATTATAGGGGGTGAAATATACTTAAAATTGCTACTTAAAATTTTTCTTTAAAAAAAAATAAAATTTTTCTTTTCAAGTATATAGCAACTTTTCAAGTTTCTATGCTAAGAACTGGACTTCTCCACCAGTTTTGTGAAGATACTGGCCTTCTGACTTTGCTGTTGGTTTCTTGTCCACCCTGAACTCTATGATTAATCACCTGAGTAACACCTCAAATACCTTATCTTCATTATCCTTTCCAGGCTGTACCTCTCTTATCCAGTACCCAGCAGTTTTGAGAATATGCTCTCTGTATTCCCAGTTTTGGAGTGCTAGAGGGAATTGGCACCATCATTTATGGATTCTACCATTAGCCAGCTGGTCCTTTGGTGGTGATCTTCATTTTACTTGTCCATTGTCGGCTGCTTTTTGCCATTCCTTTGAGGGTGTTGCCAGATATTTATGGCTCTTTTCTTACCATTAGATGGTACAGTGGCTTCTCATTTTACAAATAATTTGTAAAAGGTATTCTGTTAGCTGGCATCCATTAGACTTCTTGCTAAAAATAAAGTGACCTTGACCTCTGCAGCATCTCACCTTTTGATTCTTACCCTCTTTCAAGGTTGTCTCCTTCCATAGCATCTAATAAACAGTCTCATTTCTACCCCTTTCTGGTTCTTCACCATTTCCTTTTATACATTTTCTTCTTGACTCTCCTGTCACCGTGCTTTCTTTCTGGGAGATTTCATTCACTGTGGTGGCTTCATGTGTGAACTATATACCAGCAGACCCCACTTTTGTTCCCCAGACCTATCTCTGGAACTGCAGATGGGAATTTCCAACACCCTATTGAATACTTAGAGCCTGGAGGTCAGGGACACTTCAGAATTCACATTTGTCAAACAGAATCTGTTAAGCTACACGCACTTCTCCCAGACCAAAATACAGTTAGCAAGTCTTTCCGTCTTCCCTCCTACTATCTTCCATTACCTCTTTTTCAGTGTGTCAGCCTTTTTTTCAAGTTTGTTTTGTCTCAGTGCTTTTAATCCTTTCTCTATTCCACCACTAAAAGGGAAATTAATTGAATGTTTAAAGAACCTTAAGATCTCGCATTGCCTTTTTGTCTAGGTTGAAAATCCACAGTGTTTTTCTGTAATGGGGTTTGGGTAAAATTAAATGATGATCTTTTCCCAATTCTCAAAGAGAAGGATTTTATTTTATTTATTTATTTACATTTAAATTTTTTCCCAGGTCCCTTAAAAATTTTATTACTTGCTACCACTTTTATCATCATCTATCATAGAGTGGTATTTGAATTAACTTAAACTTTCGGAATTAGTATGTAAGTTTACAAATGTCAACATTTTTTTTTTTAAGATTTTATTTATTTATTTGACAGAGAGAGACACAGAGGGAGAGGGAACACAAACAGGGGGAGTGGGAGAGGGAGAAGCAGGCTTCCCGCCGAGCAGGGAACCCGATGCGGGGCTCGATCCCAGGACCCTGGGATCATGACCTGAGCCGAAGGCAGACGCCCAACGACTGAGCCACCCAGGCGCCCCAAAATAACATTTTCAAGCGGTTTGACAAGCCTTTCACACCTGGACTCAACCCAGTGTGTCCCCTTTCCTCACTGCCACGGCTCACTTTTGACTCCTAACAAGAACTGCAACACACTGGGCAAGACATTCAAAGTGGTTTTAAGAATCTTCTTACCTTTCTGGTTTATGAGGATTAAATGAAGCAGTGCACATCAAATGCTTAGTTCAGGGCCTGGCACATAGTAAATACTCAAGAAATACCAGCTGTTGCTTTGTTGTTGTGTTGATCTTATTCCTCAGCCTGAATCTCCATGTACCCAAATGTGCAGGGTCTCTGGTGTCTTTACACATACTACTCCCAGATGCTGGAATGCCTTCGTCTTTCCTCGTCCCACTTCCTGTGCCTACTCCTTTTACTTTTTGAATTTAACTCTTCTAAGAAATTTTTCCTAGTGTGTACAGTTAACCCTTGAACAACAACATGGGTTTGAACTGCATGGGTCCACTTATATGTGGATTTTTTTCCATAAATGCAGTACAGTACTGTAAGTGGATTTTCTGTATGATTTTAATAACATTTTCTTTTCTCTAGCTTACTGTGTTATAAGAATCCTGTGTATAATATGTATACAAAGTATGTGTTAATCTACTGTGGTATCGGTAAGGCTTCTAGTCCACAGTAGGCTATTAGTAGTTAAGTTTGGGAGGAGTCAAAAATTGTATGCAGATTTCTGACTGTGCAGGGTGCTGGCTCCCCCAACCTCCACATCGTTCAAGAGTTAACTGTAGTTCTTTATCACCCTTCCCCTCCTTGACACAAATATTCCCTTAGTGGTGCTTTTTGTTCGTACCTCTGAGTCGTGTATTTTATTACAATTTGTTTTCCAAACTCTTGTCTTCACTGGACTTTTAAGCTCCTTGTCAGCAGTAGGGAATCATTCTCAAGCTATTGGATCTCAGTGTTACCTGCCCTGCCTTGCCAGCTAACAGGTTTTCAGTCAGTAGCCACACTGGCTGCCATCTAGATTATTTCATTAATCTCTACAACCACTCTGTGTTAGGGCTGCATTATTATCTGACTGGGTGAGGTGAAATGATTTGCCCCAAGCCACTTTCTAAGTGCTACAAGTCTAGAACTCCCCACATTTAATAATGTACTGTTATTGCATAGCTGTCCTCTTACACATTTGTCTTTTATTCACAATATAAATAAAATAGCATTTAATACATTAAAAGTGCTTTTTGATTGTTTTTGCTTTAATTTCAGAATGCATAAAACATCTCAAGAATTGGGACTGCAGATTCAGAATTGTTTGATCTGTGTAGGCTTTATATACTCTCGTATTGCTTAGCAAAATAATCGAGAGAATAAATATTTCAGACAGTGGACTTTTTATGCAGTTTATGCATAATAGGCAGTTGAAGTAGTTTGTACTTGAATTAACACTATTTTTTTCCAAAATTTAATTTAGTTTTACACTAATTTGAATTAACCTTTATTAAATTTTATTATGTCTTCGGTAACATCCTTCAGGGTAATTGTGTGTTTGTGTATAAATGATAGCCTTTTCATAGTCTTTATGTAAGGCTGTTATTTTAAGAACATGTAATGATAATACATGTAATAAGTTTGGGTGACTAGTGATTTGTTATGGCTTTGTATTCATTGGAAAATACTGATTGTGGTAGCTGGGGGAATGGCGCTGGTGGTGGTGGGGAATTAGATTATTAAATATAAAAATGTTGCACGTCATTAATTTTACAGACAGTTGAAAGCAAAGTAAACAATGTATATAATGATTCTAGTTATTCTGTAGAAGTTGTAATTGTGATTTAATTCAGTTACATCATAAATTCCAGGAATGAGGGACAGTTTCTTCTTCCCTTTTTTTTGTTTTTGGCAGTTTCTTCTTTTAAAGAATAAAATACAGAGTTGAAGATGAACAATATTTATTCCCCCATCGTATAATATTCTTTAAATTTAGTTATTGGATTTGTTTTGCTTTTTTGTTTTCATTTTTATATTTGCTTATTTAAAAATATATTTAATCATTCTTTTCATCACAGAGCATAGTAATATTCTAAATCTCACCCCTCTAATAGTAATACTTATATTTTATTTTAGGGAAGCTATGCGAAATTACTTAAAAGAGCGAGGGGATCAAACAGTACTTATTCTTCATGCAAAAGTTGCACAGAAGTCATATGGAAATGAAAAAAGGTAAGGTTATTGTTTTTCTGGTGGGTAGTTAATTGTAGCTATCATGAATTTGCAAGTGATTTATTAATATACAAGTTAGAGGGTGGTTTCTTTTATTGGGTTGCTTTGCAAGTACCAAATGAAAAATAGGGGATTTGTCTCTATTGAAGGGGAGAAACAAAGTGAACTGTGGCATATTTAGTAAAGATCATCTGGCTAGGTCTCTGAAGTTATGAAATGAAATAATCCATAATTTGCCAGGTTGGGGGGCGGCCTACATGATATTCCCTAAGTATTACTGTGGTGCATTAGCTCTTTCAAAAAATAGCTCTCCTTTTGGTGGAAAATGTAGTTTTATAAACGTGACCCTCCCCCCCAAAGTACTTTTGAAAAGGAGAAGGCTAAATAAACACCTGAATTGAGTGATTATAAAGCTCTCCACCTTGACCCTATGCCTATTCAGGTTAAGAAAAATAGCAACACTGGGGCGCCTGGGTGGCTCAGTTGGTTAAGCGACTGCCTTCGGCTCAGGTCATGATCCTGGAGTCCCTGGATCGAGTCCCTGGATCGAGTCCCACATCGGGCTCCCTGCTCGGCAGGGAGTCTGCTTCTCCCTCTGACCCTCCCCCCTCTCATGTGCTTTCTCTCTCTTTCATTCTCTCTGTCTCAAATAAATAAATAAAATCTTTAAAAAAAAAAAAAGAAAAATAGCAACACTGAGTTGGTACTCAGTTTGTACTCATAATGTAGACACTACAGAAATAACCTAGAAGTCATATTCGCAGAATTAAACTATAACAAAGTGATCTTCATATTTAGTGTTTGCTGCAGTATCTTATGAATTTCAGCATTTGGGACTTTTGCTGTTTGTTTTTTTCATTTGGTTGCTGGATTTTCTTGTCTTTGGGACTTCTTTGAGACTGTGTTAAGCATTTCGTGGACAAAGGCTGCTTGTGGGGGAAGATGAAAGATTTTTTGGATTGGCCAGAAAAGCCCAAACTGAAGTGAGAGAAGGAATGAAAATTCAGGTTTGGATATTGGGTTGAAAGGGATGACTGGTATTTTAGAGTTTGTGAGATAAAGGAAAACTTAGCATAATGCATAAGAGGAGCGAGATGTAACTATGTGACTAATGTCTATGCTGGAAGAAAGTTAAGAGGTCTCTTTCTTAAAGCCCTCTCAATCCAAGCTGAGGTGATGGTGAAGCTGTGTAATTAATAACTTTATCCTCAAATAGGATGAGCAAATTCAAGCAATATTTAGGACTCATACTGCCAAAGTGTTCTTTCTTACCATTATTGAAGCTTACTAAACTTCTGATTATTTTATCTTAATTTACTAATAAAACTTAGCCATCTGATTTAGAATTAAATATGGGAAGAAGTTAGTATCTACAGTTTGAGGCATAGAGTCAAGTCAAGATAGTGGCTCCTTTTTTTTTTATGAAGTCAATACTGGATATTCATTTATATATATATATATATATATATATATATATATATATATATAAAATGAAATTGAATGTGTGTGCAGAGCAGATTGTTGTAGAAACAGAGCAAGTAAACACCCTTAATATTTGATGAGTTAGTAGGCCAGCCATGCACCTCATAATAAACCTGAAGAAGAAACACTTCACCAGTGTTTCTGGACCAGACTGGGAATGCCTTACAGATATTTTAAAATTTTAATCCTCAGAATAATCTTGTAAAATCAGTATGTTACAATCCTCATTTTCTTAGTGAGGAAACTAAAGATCAGAAACTTTAAATATGCCCACGTTCATCTTAGTTTAGGAATCGATGGAGCCAGGATTAGAACCCCTGGGACTATAACTCCAAATTTCATATTCTTTTTATTGCCCTAATTTTCATAGCTTTCCATTTTGTGTCTGAGTGCTGGTCACGTACAGTAAGGCTTGAAGATGAAGGAGGTAAAGATGCCTAAAGAACACAAAGTTTGCCCCAGATCGTTCCTTTACCATCAGCTCCATGAGCCTGGGCTGCATCTGATGGAAATAGGAATAGATGTGCGTTTATTGCAGCGAGGCTGTTCTTTCTCTGGATTTTTGAAGGTGCATTTTGGTATAGCTGGATTCATTCATTAATTCATTTTTTCTTTATTTTGGTTAGGAAATTAGGTGCCAGGTACTATACAAAAGAATCTTGACTGGGAATTTTGGAAGTCATTGTGTCATTTAATACTGAGTAACTGAGGCCCTGCAGGGAAAGCAGAAAGGAACAGCTACTTAAAGAGTTATGCCTAAGTCTAAATAAGGTTCCTCTTGTTAGTTACTGTTGAAAATGAGTACAAAGCTATAGTGGCTTCTTGAGTAGGTGATTTAAAGGTTATCCTTTGTTGTGATTGCCTTCGTTTTCACTTCCTCTCTATTTGGGTCTGGCCTGGCCTATCTAAAACAGCAGATAAAGGAGAGCTTGAAGAATCTAAGCTTCCAGCTTCCAAAGACTGAAGAAATAATGATGGAAAGGCCAGAGTAACTACTTTCCTGTATTTTTTATATATTTGTATTATTAAATTTTCAGAGTAGACGTGTATTTGTTTTACATACGAAGGTGGAAACCTGTTAAAATTACTTGATTTTTAAAAAGGATCAGTAGTAAGGGACTGCTCGGGAGGTCCAGCGTTCTGGATGAAGCCTGGCCAGTTACTCACGGGTGGCGCACGTGGTGGAAAGAAAGATTCAGGCCTTTCTGAAAAGCCGCTAAGGCATTAGGCACAAGGTAACCTGGGGACATGACTGCAGTCTTCTTGGCATATAAAATAAGTCCAGAGAATGATGCTAGAAATGCTAGGTCAGGAAAATTTGTCCTAAAATTTTAACTTGTCCTTGGTATTAACTTTGGTGCCTAATAACAAATATTTATCTTTTTGGACATCTGTTATCCCACTCATGTTAGTGATTAGTTTTACTTTTTCATTAAAGAAGGTTATTCTAGGTTAAAAAAAATAGACTTTTAAAAAGATTATTTTGTCTAGAGGAAAATTTTCAATAAAGACGGGGAAACTACAGTTGACGTATTAGTATTGCTTCAACTTTGTGTCAACGGAAGTCATTAAGCAGTAGTGAAGGTGGTAGAGATACTGTTGAGGCGACAGTAAAGCCGTGTAGACAACGAGGTGATGCTCCTGAAGTCATACTGAGAATGTGTGTTAATTGAGGTAACTGTGGTGTGCAAAACGGTTTCTATTTTGGTGCTTTTGGATTGAATAATCATCAAAGGATAATGATTCTGCAAAGGTCAGATAACGTAAATGATGTTTGGATTTTGTCTAACCTAACCTATTTTGTGTATTAGGCTGAATAAAAAGGCTTCTTTGAATCTGTAAGGTATTTTCCAGAACTCATCTTAGGGTTTGAGGAAAAAGTTGTTGAATCATTCTCTGAAAATAATTTAAGATGGACTTTTTAAACTAGGAAATGAATAACATTGTAAATGTGTGCATATTGCCACCAAGTGGCAGGAAAAAAACATTGTTTGTCATAGTTGCTAGATAAGAGCTGTAGGAAATACTAGAAAATCAAGGCACATTGTTTTGTAGCATATTCTTTCAGAGCAGCTGCTAAACTCTGCGAGCTGACCACTTGTTGGTCAAACTTTTCACTGTTTGGTACGTATTCACCAGTTGCCCACATTCAAAAAATCATGGATTGCACACGGCATTATAAGGCGTATTATAATTTTTCTTCTGTTAATTAGGTGGCCTTTTTTTTTTATCCTCACTCCCTTTAATTTCTTTTGTCTGTGTTCTTTTGTTGTATGTTTATCTTCTGTTTGATGAGGTTACTACTGAAGTCTGTGGAAATGCAAGCCTGACTCATTAGCTATTTCCAAGGGGATGGCAATATTGGGGTGTTAAAATATGATTTCATCAATGCATTATATAGAAATAGTCTGTTTAGACTGTATTAGATTCGCTGTTTTCTTATATCATGACTTTTGAATTGTAGAGTTGATTAAAAAACAAGGCTAGTTCAGAGGCATTTGCAAAGAGTCTTCTTCGTTTTTCTTATTTATTGCATGATTGGAAAGCACTTTCAATATAGAATCTTGGTCTGAGTTTTAAGTGATAAAGAATAGCTTGCCAGCCTAATTTTATACCTTGCTTATGCCATTTTATCACAGTACTCTTGAGAAAACCAGCACTACCCAATCTTGTACAGCTTTAGCCCTTTTTATATTTTTCAGATGTGAAATAAAAGCATCTTTTGTGATAACTTGCTGAGATTTGACTCCCACTTCTGGTACATTCTACTAAAGCACCGCTCTTTGAATTTTATAGCTGGTATACCAGTTTACTAAGGAATCTTAATATCAGTGTTCAGTAGAAAACACTAATAGGAGACAAGTTTCCTAAATTGATGCCTTCTCAACCTCCCAGTAGTGTGCCAGCTAGGTATTTGAGGCTGTGCCATGGTAAGCATTAGGTGGCTCCCAGGGTTAGAGGCCAGAAAGATCCCTGGTGTAGACTTGAATTGATCCAACTCCAGAACTAGGCTGGCTGATCCAGGCATCCCTCCAAACTTGGAGTGACCTGGAGCTGAGCCCACTACCTCAGCTGTGACCTCTGTGTCCATGGCCACAGTGAGAGTATGCAGGCATGAAAGCTGCTCTGCTTCCTTTTTATTGGTTTAGATAAATATGGGAAGACTCCAGAGGCTTCCCTCCTTACTCACCTTGACTCCCCAGGGCCTACTCGGTCTACTTCCCCATTATCTAGGCTTCATCTTCTATTCTCAACTCCAGCCACGCTGGTCTGTGTTTGTTTAGACAGAGTCCACTTTAGTCCTTCCTACTTTAGAGCCTTTCCACTTGCTCTTCCCTCAGCTGAAATGCTCCTACCCCAGCTACCCATGGCTTCAGGTTGTGACTCAGGGTCACCTTTTTAAGGAAGCTTTGCCTGGCCACCCAGGTCGTCTACATTTTAAGTACCCTTTATTTGCTTTATTTTTTCCCTTAGTATTTATCATCAGCTAACAGAATATAGAAGCCATTTTACTCATTTATGTTTTTGGGTTTTTTTTAGTTCTATTAAGAGTGTGAATTCCATCAAGACAGGAATTTTTGTCTTTTTTTTCCTACTATATTCACAGTGCCTGGTACACTAGGGGTACAGGCTAGGGGTATAATAATTTGATGAATTAATTAATATTACATAAATCCAGCTCACTTCTTATAAATGAATATAAATTGCTCCTAAAGTGGTCTTTTAGAGTTGAGCAAAAAGTAGATGTTATATAATTTTGATTCAATTCAGTCAATATTGTAGTAGGTGCTAAGGCGGGGAGCAAACAAGAAGTAGATACTAACTACTTTTAGGAAGGGCTGAGGCCAAATCCAGCCTGGTGTTGTTCGTGTGTTACATACGCACAAGTAGGCACGTGTACACATTTATTTGTTGTTGTCGTTTTCTTAAGCCTGTGTGCTGTTGGCCTACAAAGTGTTAAAAAGCATGAATTAGTCGCTAAATTTTAAAATTAGGAATTTCATCTAAAATTTGATTTCAAGCCTTTGTTGAACAATTGGAGGATGGGCCCAACACTAGGCCCACATGCAGGTAGTTCAGCAAAGTGATTGAGAGGGTGTGTACTCACCGGCTTGCTATTCTCTGTTGTGCCTTGTTATCATTAGAGTGACACATCAGGGGCTGATTGTCATTGCATTTAAGTTCTTCTTTTTCTTACAGTAGGCTTAAAAGAATTAAGAAAAATTTTCCTTTACTCATAACTGTACAAAAAGTGGGAATTACCATGAGGGCTGTGCGTTTCAAGAAAGAAAGGAGGGAACCTACTTCTTGGAGTAATTAAAGGATATTCCGACTTATTTATTGTACACCTGCCTCACCCACTAAATTACTTACCTGGCTACTATTTGAGAGGGTATTTGGGTTTTCAGGCCCCTTGATGAGACATGGTGTAAATGTTTTAAAGTATGCATAAACCACTGTGTATAATTGAGCAAAAGCAGATTATGCCCTCCATAAGGACTAGATTGATGGTCTGAACTGTAAAATAAGGGGCTTGAGCTAGGTTTTGAAATAGTAGATATTTCTTTTTTTTTTTTTAAGATTTTATTTATTTATTTAACAGAGAGAGGGAAAGCACAAGTAGGCAGAGCAGCAGACAGGGAGAGGGAGAAGCAGGCTCCCCGCTGAACAGGGAGCCCGACGCAGGGATGTTGGGATCATGACCTGAGCCGAAGGCAGACGCCCAACCGACCATGCACCCCGAAATAGATACTTCGTAGTTGCTAGAGAGGAGATAGCAGTTGACTCTTGCATGACATTGGTTCCATCTGCAGGCTCTTCTTACGTGCAGATTTTTTTCACTTAATACAGTATAGTATTACAAATGTATTTTTTTTATTTTCTTAGTAGTATTTTGTCTAGCTTTATTGTAAGAATACAGTATATAGTACATACAACATACAAATATGTGTTGACTGTTTATGTTAATGGTAAGGCTTCCTGGTCAACAGTAGGCTATTAATTTGGGGGGAGTCAAAAATTAGACATGGATTTTTTGACTCCATACGGAGTTGGCACCCCTAACCCCCATAATGTTCAAGGGTCAACCGTATAAGGAAGTTATTCTAGGTGGGAAGAATTTTTGAAGGCAGGTTTTCAGCAGCTAGCAAAACAAATCCGTTGGTAATCTGTGAGGTGAAAGGGTACAATGCATTGTTCTTTCAGTCATCCACTTGTACCAGGTGTTCAGGGTGTAATATATAACACATAGGAATCCAGTTGTCCATTTTGCTTGTAATTCTTCTACTTTTATTAATATTTTGAAAGTTTCTACTTTGGATATTGTTCTAAATCTTTTTTCCAGGTTAATTACCAAATAAAGTATAATAGCCATAACAATGTCATCAATTGGGGCGCCTGGGTGGCTCAGTCATTAAGTGTCTGCCTTTGGCTCAGGTCATGATCCCAACATCCCTTCGCATCGGGCTCCCTGCTCAGTGGGAAGCCTGCTTCTCCCTCTCGCACTCCCCCTGCTTGTGTTCCCTCTCTCGCTGTGTCTCTCTCTGTCAAATAAATAAATAAAATCTTCAAAAAAAAAAAAAAAAACCACCGTCATCAATGAATAATATGTCATTTTAAGTAGATCTTAATTAATAATTGTAGATTCTGCTTTGGTGTATCATCTTCTATAACCTTTTAGACATTGTTGGATTTGCTGAATTCCAATAGTTCAGAATTCTGGGCTCCGTGAAAATTTAATACTCCCTGCTCTAAAAAGTATCTGATGTAACTGAATGCATAATTCTAGGATAGACGAACCTGCCCTGAACAAGTGTAGTCTTTGTGAAAGCCTTGATTTCCATGCTCTGTACATGACTATTTGCATTACAGAAGGCTTCACCAAAATGTTTCTTTAGGAGATTACTTAATGCATTTCAGTATAATTTTGTATTCATATGTTTGAAGAAAAATGCTTTCTTGAATCTAATTGCATTGTTTTTGTATTTTTGTGGTGTGTATATTGTTTCAGGTTTTTTTGCCCTCCTCCTTGTGTGTATCTTATGGGCAGTGGATGGAAGAAAAAAAAAGAACAAATGGAACGAGATGGTTGTTCTGAACAAGAGTCTCAACCATGTGCATTTATTGGAATAGGAAATAGTGACCAAGAAATGCAGCAGCTGAACTTGGAAGGAAAGGTAAATTAAAACTGTTGGTTCTCTTAAAGGGCACCATGGTACCAGCTTATTTGTTTTTGTGCTGATGCTTTTTTTTTCTTTTATCTCTTTTGGTAGCAATTTTCTGAACACCGCCCCCCCCCCCCCCAAGACACACCCAGCCCTACCCACCAGAGATAAACTTGTCAAATAGCTGTGGTCTAGTCATGAGCTGTGGACATCTAAAGGTGGCACATAGTAAGCTTCCTCAGATTGGGAGCAGTTTTAGCAGGCTATGAATCAGGTTTCCATTAGAAGCCAATAATAAATTTAGGAGGCTAATCTGTCATGTGACTGACAGGGGGGACATGATATTCAATAAACAGTGAAAATACATAGTTCAGTAATATTTTACTCTCTCTTAATCTTACTCTTATACTAGAAGCAAAGTGATAGAGATAAATTCTTAGAAGTATTTACCTGGGTTATAAAGATCGTAAATGTTTTACTTAGCTTCTGTGTGAAGCAAAACTACAATAGACAAGAACAGCCACAATCAGCTTTACTCAAGACTTTTAGGAATTTTCTTTGATTAATTTGTTAGGGAATGGAATTTATATATTAGTTTTACTAATTGTATTTTATGAAATTAGAACGTAATCATTTCAGTCTGTACCTTTAGTATTCAAAAATAGTTCTTATTGACTTAGCATTTAACTATTATTTTGTTTTCCCTTGATATTAAAATTTGAAAAATGTTTAGTTCTCAACGATCACATGAATGTCTTAAAATAGTACATAAAAAGATATTTCCTCATTCAGTAAATCCTTACTGAGTATCTTAGTGTTTGCTATGTTGCAGTTGGCAGTAGGGATGGGGGCTGGCAGGTAACATTGAAGGTGATGAGCTAGGAGGTTTGTACACTGCAGTTCAATCTTAGTCATTTACAGATAATACACAGAATCTGCACCAAGAAGCCTTAATAACAGCCTTCTTCAAATATTTTTATGACATTTGTATCTTTATAATTTTTATCAGTCAGGCTTGTCAACTATGTATTTTTTAATTAGATTTTCAGTAAAACTTATCACAATAAAGGTGGTTTCATTTTAAAAGAAAATAGAGCAGTAAGAAATATTTCTAAATTATGACCCTTGAGCCAAAGTAAAGGATATTTTTAAGTGGTAGGCTGATCTGATAGGCCTTAGCTCTGTCTCACCTGTTTTCCTGTCCTGCAGAAAGTCTCAGAGTTACGTCTCCAAGCTGTACATTTAGACACTTGGTACTATGAATTGACTACTTAGGTAGGTAGTGAGAAGCCAGGGATTGTAGCTACCAGCGTATTTAACTGTTAACTGAATTTCATTGCCTGCTTTAACCAATTCCAGCTTCCAGCATTTTAAGGGAATTAATACCAAGCAAACAGCATCCCCACTTGCTTTTCCCAGCATCATGGCTTAGTATATCTTTCTTCAACTTACACCATTATGTACTTTCCCCAAGCCCTAAAAATTCACACAAGACAAAAAGAATACCTGAAAGCTTGAGTATTAACTAGTATTTAAAGCATCTACTAATGGGGTAGTATAATGTCTATAAGCCAGATTTACTTGTTAATATTATTAGTTTTAATGAAAAATGCTATTAGAGAAGTCTTACTTTATATAAAGTAAGACTTGTTGAGAGTCAGCAGAAGGCATTCCAGGTGGAAGTAACATCATATGTGCTTGGAGCCTAAAGGTGTAAGAACATGGTAGGTGTGGACCTACGTAGGCAAAGATGGCCTGAGCAGCGCGATGCTGAGCTTCAGAGAGGGGCCCTTTGCTCTTGCCTGTCTCACTTCACCTCAGTGCATTTAAGATAATACTCTTTTCTTTCAATAGTCTGCTCATTGAATGGTTCAGTTTAGTCACTATTCAAAAAGAAGGGATATTTGTTTTGCACTCTTGGGTATTTGTACTTAATACTCATTACAGTAAAGTTCTAGTATATGTAGCCCTTCTTATGGTTATGACATTTGACTCTATGTTGATAATATTTTGGATCTGAGATTTTACCTAATGATGTTTTAAATTTGTTAAATACTCATTTCCTCAATTTTATATCTTACATAGTTGGAACTAGGTAAGCTATACAAGATGAATTAATCCCTACTTAGCCCGCTTGTGTTTTTCTTATTTTCAAAAATTACATCCCCTACACCTCTCTTGCTAGCACTATTTATATAATTCACATATTTCTACAGTACTTTTGCAGTATTATATCTGGTATTTCTCATTTCAGGGCACATGTTATTACTGTGGCCTGAAGATCTCGTCTTGAAAGAGTTGTTCTTAAGTTAAATTGTTTATTATTTATAGAAAGGTTTATTTTATGCCGTTTTCTATTCTAGAATTTTGTTTAGGTAATCTAGCCTTTTAGTATGATGAATGTAACTTTAAACTTTATTAATTTATTTTCTTAATGCTGTAATACTTTTTCTGAGTAGTGACTTTTTACCTTTTTTTTTTAATGGAATTTGAGTAGCTTGTGGTCGGTGGTCTTACAGTTTTTTTAAAAAAAAATAATGGTTCTAGTACAGTTGTCCCAGGTATGATTATTTTTTGGGGGATTAAGACTCACTTCTGTAAAAAATAGGGATACGTTTTCCTTTTTTTCAAAGGGATATATGTGCGTGTGCTTTTTCTAAACAAAATAAAACCCTTTGTGTGAAAGTCTTTTTCCCATGAGAATTTAATTGTCTTCATTTAAGTACACATTTCATTTTTGTTCCCTGTAACTGTCTGCTTTAGTATGTTGATACCCATTTTCCTAGACTTTGTCTTTTTTTTTTTTTTTTAAAGATTTTATTTATTTATTTGAGAGAGAATGAGAGAGAGAGAAAGCACATGAGAGGGGGGAGGGTCAGAGGGAGAAGCAGACTCCCTGACAAGCAAGGGAGCCTGATGCGGGACTCGATCCAGGGACTCCAAGATCATGACCTGAGCCGAAGGCAGTCGCTTAACCAACTGAGCCACCCAGGCGCCCCTAGACTTTGTCTTTTATGGTACAGAACAATTCCATAGTTTAGGCTTAATCTGACCTTCAGTGCTTCTTATTGTATGGCAGAGCGGTAAGTCCCGCCACAGCATCTCTGAATGCTTGGAGATCCCTGAGTAGAAGGAGCTGCGTGAGTGTGAAGTACTGTTGTTTTTATTTTTCTTTTTACTACTGTTAACTTTATCTTAATTTTGTCTTCTGCAGAACAAAGCTTCTCAAAGCTTTACCACACTTCTGAATTTAGGAAAACTTAATTGAGTGTAAAATATTCACATGGCAACTACAGTTTCTTACATAACTTTGCTATTGAGAAATGAAATAAGCTGCGGCATTATTTTTGTTCTGCTACTAAAATTGCCCATGATTACAATTTAAAAAATTTAAAACCTAGACTACATTAGCTATTTCGTAAATGAGTGGCGTTTTTCCTGATTTTTAAAAGAAACGCACAACAGAGGTTGTCAAAGAAACTTGTTTAGCCTAATTTTAAGGTAGAGCATTGATCTTTTAAAAAATACTAACATTGATTTTAAATACCTAAGCTGTGTTTTAAGCATCATTTACCCAATCTGGAAAAAGAGATCAATAATTTAGTTCCTTGCCTAATTCATAGGGATTAGGGGAATAGGAAAGAGTTTAGAATTGTCACATATATTTGAGATAGGAGCATTGAGAGTGTCTTTCCTGTTTTGCCAGTGCTATACCTCTGTAATTCTATCTTTTCAGTTACCAGAATGTATTTTCTGGTAAACTGGCATAATAACTTGCTGCATTTATTTTCTGTTACCTTTCAGTCCAGTTCTTTTTTTGAGTAAACACTGCCCACAATGAGGGGCTTGAACTCATGACCCTGAGATCAAGAGTTGCATGCTCCTCTGACTGAGCCAGCCATGCATCCCTCAGTCCAGTTCTTTTGATGATATAATATGAATTATCCCATTGGGCAAAGTCAGCCATTTTTTTAATACTCCTTTCTGGCATAAACTATTTTATAATTATCCAGTTGGTCTAGCATAGTTTTCATCAGACTTATAGGTGGTTGCTCTAGTGTTCAGCTGTATAAAGAAAAACACTATATGCACTGTTTTCAAAAGGACCACTGCTAAAATATTTTAATTTTGTTGAATTCTGATAGCCTTATTTATATGTTTTCTTTGCAGAAATACAGTCATGGACTATTTTAACTGTAAAATTCTATTCTAAATATTTGCTGTAGCATTGGTAATTCTGTGATGTAGGCATAAGGCTATATTAAACAAGAAAAAACTGTGTTTTAAAGCAATCTTAGGGTAAAATGGATCACAACATTAGTATTTTATAGCCTTGATAAAGACGCCTGTACTTTGTCTTTCAGTAATTGTTACAGTTGGTTTTATCAGTTATTCATTGAATTCATTCATTGAAAACTTAGCCGTGGCCATACTGAGCTGTAAGTACATAACCAACAAGGTTTTGGTGCTCTTGAAACTTTCCTTTTCTTTCACAGAACTATTGCACAGCCAAAACATTGTACATATCTGATTCAGACAAGAGAAAGCACTTCATGTTATCTGTAAAGATGTTCTACGGCAACAGCGATGACATCGGTGTGTTCCTCAGCAAGCGGATAAAAGTCATTTCCAAACCTTCCAAAAAGAAGCAGTCATTGAAAAATGCTGACTGTATGTATGCTTGAGTTTTCTTTTTGCCACCAATTTCCATCGTAAATTAATAAGACAGATACAGCTATTTTTTTAATTGAGAATCACTTTTTGATAGCAAGTTCACTTTTTTTTTTAAGATTTTATTTATTTATTTGACAGAGAGAGACACAGCAAAAGGGGGAACACAAGCAGCGGGGGAGTGGGAGAGGGAGAAGCAGGCTTCCCGCCGAGCTGATGGGGGGCTCGATCCCAGGACCCTGGGATCATGACCTGAGCCGAAGGCAGACTCTTTAACAACTGAGCCACCCAGGTGCCCCAGCAAGTTCATTTTTTACTAATGTTTTTGTGGCCCTCACTTGATCTGAAACGGTCACACTCGCTTATTATTGCCACTTTATGGGCTTCCTTTTTTTTTTTTTTTTAATTGAAATGAACAAGACCTGGTCTAGGGAAATGGTTCCCAATCAGACTGGGTTCTTCACTGCTCTCCAGGCACATATGGAAAAATGGGAGGTTTTTTTCCTTTTGCTGTCACTGACTGCAGGGAGTGATTGAAGGTGGCATTGGGTGTGTTGGGCCAGTGATGCTAGATGTTCTCATTCACATTCCACGGAGAATTGATCCGCAAAGAATGTCAAAAGCTCCTCTTTGAGAGACAATATTCCCAAACGGGCTTTGGAAGGCCATCCTGCAAACCGAAACAAAATTTTTAACATGGTTGCTCTGGTAAAGACTCCTGTCTTATGAGCAGATTTTTAGACTACCAAAGATAAGTGCTGTCTGATTAAAGTATGCATTTCAACCCCTACACCCCATTTTCTTTCTTTATTTTTAACTCTTTATGATGAAAACTTTCAAACTTACACTACTTTCTCCCTTTTACCATGGTGACCATGCACCTGGCCTCAACAGGTTTTGCCAATTCGGTTTCATTATTTCCATGGCCTCTTCCTTCTTTTGACGGCTGGAATATTTTAATGGAAATCTCAGATATCCTGTTCTTTCAACCACCGTTTCTACAGTAGTGATTCTTAACAGATAGCTTTCTTTTTAAACATCAGTATACCTAAAAATGCAATATGTATCTCTGCAAATATGCAAAAATGCAAATATGTATCTCTAAAGATAGGGGCTCTTGTTTTTTTTAATATAGTTACAATACCATGATCACGTACAAACAAAATATGTTATTGAAACAACTATAAAAAGAAATAATTTCTTCATCTTGGGGCACCTGGGTGGCTTAGTCGGTTAAGCGTCTGCCTTGGGCTCAGGTCATGATCCCAGGGTCCTGGGATCAAGCCCCACATCGGGCTCTCTGCTCAGCAGGAATCCTGCTTCTCCCCTCCCTCTCCCTCTGCCTGCCGCTCCACCTGCTTGTGCTCTCTCTCTGTCAAATAAATAAAATCTTTAAAATAAAAAAAGAAATAATTTCTTCATCTCATCAAATGTCTAGTCAGTTGATCAAATTAAAATTGTCTAAAATGTCATTTTTTAAGTATTTTGCTTGAATAATTCAAATTTAATCTCCACCAGATATAATTTATATAATTTTTATATAATTTATATATATATAATATAGAATACATATTGTGTTGACACGTCCTTGAGTATTTTTATCTGTGGATTCCCTCTTCATCTCTCTCTCTCTTTTTAATGTGCTTATTCAGGAAACTGAGTAATTTGGCTCTGAGAGCTTTCCACATACTGGATTTTGTTAACTTCATTTCCTTGGTGTAGTTTAATGTATTTTGTACATTGGTAGTGTCAGAGAGAAACACACTAGAACTGGACACTAGTTAAAAGTGGTAAAGATGGATTTTGTTCAGTATTATCACAGTAGGGAAAAGAGGCTTCAGTGTAGAACTCAATTCCAAATACATCAAGGACAAGTCAGGATTTATAATCAAGGAGCAGAGTGAGGGGAGGGTCAGTGGGTAGAAAATTACTAAGAGGAAACATTAAGCGTAGGGGGGTTCTAGAGGAGCCAGCTTAAGAGGCTTTTTGCTAAAGCCTGGCCTAGGTGATCAGATGTACAGGGTGGGAGATGGGGAACTTGGGTTCTTGGAGTAACTGGCTAGGCAGGCCAATTACTGGGCCCAAGGAAGAGGATTACTTGAAAACAGGGCTCAGAGGAACCTGTCTGTAAAGTTTGGTCAGGTTTAACTTAAAAGCTTGGTCAGATTTAAATTTGTTGTTCTTTGGGGTTTTTTGTTGTTGCTAGAGGACAAAGCTTACTTTGTAGTGATAGAGTATTCTTGCTAATGTCATGTATTCAGACTATTTCTAATTCAAATTACTGGATTTTATTTAACCTCTGACTTTTTCTATTGATCATAAGTTTCTTATTGGCAAAGAACATATTTCACTTCCAGAATATTTTCCTGCTTACATAGACGTGTTTTGTTTTGTTTTGTTTCCAAGAAATTTCACATACCACTATACTTCAGGGTATTTAGAAATAATCAGAATCTCTAAAATCACAAAGGCAGTTGACATCAACTTGGTAAACCTCCTCCTAGACCCCTCTCTGTGAATACATTCCATAGGATTGGATGTGAGCACATGGAGAGACACGTGTAATCCCATAAATGTGTGTGTGTACATGTACATGTGTATACACCTAAGGGAACCACAGTATACGGAGGCTTTTATCATCTGCTTTTCCATTCAGTGGTCTTCTAGGGAGATATTTTCTTTATCAAGTGCATTTAGATACACATTATTTAAATAGGTAAATGATATAATTTATTTAATCAAGTTCCTACAGCTGGATATTTATTATTTAAAAAATAATTTCCCTTTAATGAACAGCACTGCATGAAACATACTGTGTAGCTCTCATTTAAAAATTATTTTTATGGACATACTTTATATCTTTAGTGTGACATTATTAATGAGAGTTACCTTGACTTTTTTTTTTTTAGGACATCAATTTGTTAGCACGATCTGTTAATTATTAAGTTATAATAAAGAATAATCATAACTTGCCAAGTACAGGTCCCTTCCCCTCAATCACGTAAACAGAAGCTATTTTTTCTTTGCAGTATGCATTGCCTCAGGAACAAAGGTGGCTCTGTTTAATCGACTTCGATCCCAGACAGTTAGTACCAGATACTTGCATGTAGAAGGAGGTAATTTCCATGCCAGTTCTCAGCAGTGGGGAGCATTTTACATTCATCTCTGTGAGTACGAAAATGTGTATTTGATGTTTTTAGTGTGAAACTGTTATTCTTTGATAGTAAGATATACAGCTCTATTAAGTTTTGTTGTTTTCCTAAGTAGATTAATGAACTCTACAAGGTAATAATTCAGCCTCTTTTTTCCCTGCAATGCAGTGGATGATGATGAATCAGAAGGAGAAGAATTCACAGTCCGCGATGGCTACATCCACTACGGACAGACCGTCAAACTTGTGTGCTCTGTTACGGGCATGGCGCTCCCCAGGCTGGTACGGCTCTGCTTCGGCTTTAGTTGTGTGTAGGAAAAATAAAAGACACAGCATGCAAATGTAAAAATACACTTCAATTTCATGCTTTTTAATTTAAGAAGATGTATCAGTAATCACTGCTATTCATTATTCACAGTTATATCCCACTTTATTGTGTTTTTATGAATGCATTCTTACTGACTTTCTGTTACACTAGTATCTCTAATTTTGGTGGAGTTTTCCTTTTTGGTTGTATATCTGAACATGTTCGATAGAGGGCACTAAATAATTATGATTTCCTTTCTTAACTAATACAGATACTCTGTCGTCATTTTCTGTGGTACCTGCTCTGTCCCACCACAGGACCAAGTTCTCAGAAGCATAGAAGTTCTTACTTCTTTAAAAATATAAGCTTAGTTTTTATTAGTTTACCCTCCTACAAGAAGATAGATTTATTGAAAATTAAATTGTCATTTCATACTCAGAGAGGCATGGTGTTTAGGGCTTTTTGTTCACTAGGATGGTTTTGAAACTGTAAAAACTGCATTTCTTAGCAAAATGAAAGCAAAAGCCCCTTATACTCCCTCCTTTATGTTCCCCTTCCTTTTCTGAAACAGAGTACAGTTCAGTTAAGATGGAGGGGATTTATGAGTAGCCCTGATTCAAGGTCAAGTTGGCGGACACAGTGTTGAGCTGTATATCCAGTTTATCTCAGAAATATGGTAAATATTGTACCAACAAGCTACAAAGCCAGCATGGAGGAGAGAACCCCAGTTGGAGTAATCCCTGATGTTTTATGAATGTAGAATTCACCAGACACATACCTTAAGTTAAAGTGTTTGCACTACCTGTTATCAGATTTCTTTCCTCTTCTCAATAATTAGAAATGACCAGGGGTGGCTGGGTGGCTCAGTCGTTAAGTGGCTGCCTTCGGCTCAGGTTGGGATCCTGGAATCCTGGGATCCAGCCCCGTGTCGGGCTCCCTGCTCGGCAGGGAGCCTACTTCTCCCTCTCTCACTCCCCCTGCTTGTGTTCCCTCTCTAGCTCTCTCTCTCTCTGTCAAATAAATAAATAAAATCTTTAAAAAAAAAAAAAACTCTTTAAAAAAAAATACTTAGAAATGACCAAAGCAAGTTTTTGATGCCAAATACTAGTGAACATCTTTGGTTTCCTTATTGGTGAGAGGTCATTCAGCAGTGTCTGTGTCCAAAGAACTCTTGTGGGGAATAAAATTGAACCAAACATGGCTCATGTTCTCAATGTGTTTATTAGCTAGTGGAGAAACAGTGGAGTACATGAATAACGGTACTCTAGACAAACCATGACTCTCATGTGATGGGGAAGCAGGAGTCAGTGCTATAGACCTAGAAGCTCTAGACTTACATCATTCAAAAATCAGTTATTTCTCTAAAGTCCAAACCTCATCAAATTTAAATGTAGCTTGAAGACTTTAGCATTGAATTGAAACATATTGCTTGAGTTTAGTCAGTCTCCCAGACTATGTTAGAAGTTATAATTGCTAAAAGTGTACTGTTTCCCTTTAAACTCAAAAATTGGCATGGTGTTAGTAGAATGGCAAATATTCTGACTAATAACTGTAGAGCTAAAAAATGTAAACGTGAGAAAAGTTAACTTTAAAGATTGGGACTTTTATACAACTGTGGCTTTGCTTAGTTAAAAATCTTTGAATATTGAGATGTAAAGTAGTAAAGCCAACAGTATTGCATGATATTAATAGTACAGTTCTAAGTACTTTCACATATATTGATTTAATCCTCATAAAACTGAGTAGTTACTATTAAGGATGTTCATTGTGGAGCAAAGTATTACAGTCCTACATATATACATGCATCCTGCAAATACTCCTGAACCTTCCATGTGCCAGCCACTGTCTAGACACTGGAGATACATTGGTGAGCAAGACAGGCTTTCTGTCCTCATGGAGCTTACATTTTGTTAGGGAGATGGACAAAAAATCAGCTAAAGAAATACCCATATTAATGTATTAAAGGTTAAAACAAATGAAAAGAAAATAAGCTAAAAAAGGATAAAGTGAGACTTGTGGGAGTGCTTCCAGGGGTCAGAGAAATCTTTGTAGTGGAGATATTTGAACAGAGACCACAAACTGTGAAGAGCATTTCAGACAGCATGAGTGCAAAAAGAACTTAAGATGGAAATGTGAGACAAATAGTAAGGACGCCATGGTAGACCAAGCCAGGGGAGGGCTGGAGGCAGGAATTGAGATATTATCTACATATAATAGGAGGCCACTGGAGGGTTTTAAACAGGGCATGGTGGCTGGTTTATGTTTAGAAGGGTAATTGCGGCTGCTCTGTGAAGAGGAGAACGTGGATGGGGTGTAGCAGTGGGAGCAGAGAGACCGCGGTTGGGCTTCTGTCATCATTCAAGCAAGAGTTGATGGTGGCATCTTAGACCAGGATTGTAGTGGTAAGGTGAGAGGTGACAGATTTATTTGAAAGGAGATGTAATAGAATTTGTTGACAGATTGGATGATGGGGTATAAGAGAAAACAAGGGAGTCTAGGGTGACTCCAAAGTTTTTGGATTGAGTGAATGGTGGTGCTATTTATTGAGCTGTGAGTTGGAGAAGGATCACTTGTAGGAGGAAATTAAAAATCTGGCGTTTTTTTAATTTTTTTTTTTTTTTTAAGATTTTATCTATTTGTCAGATAGAAGAGAGAGAGCACAAGCAAGGTGAGCTGTAGACAGAGGGAGAAGCAGGCTCCCTGCTGAGTAAGGATCCCAATGCGGGACTCAATCCCAGGGCCCTGTAATCATGACCTGAACCGAAGGCAGACGCTTAACCTACTGAGCCACCCAGGCATCCCAAAAGTCTGGGTTTTGGTGAAGATTGCGGTAGCCTATTAAACATCTTAAGTGGAACTGTTGAGTTGGTAGTTAAATATGCAAGTTGCGTGCCAGAGGAGAGAGGTTAGGGCTAGAGATGCAACTTTAGGAGTTGCCAACCTCTAAATTGTACAGAAAGGAAATAGGATGGAGAGAAGAGAAGGGGGTCTGAGGACTCGGCTCTGGGACAGTCTGAAGGCCAGTGAGAAGGCCAGTTAGAGCAGGGCTCTCCCCAAAAAGGAGGATGTTCTGTGTCAGTGCTTCTGAGAAAGCTAGTAAGGTGAGGACAGGTGCCTCCTGATACCCACGGATTCATCTCTCCGGAAGTCCTTGGTGGCCCCCGACCAGGGCAATTGTAGTGGGGACTTTGAGACAAAAAGCTGGAGTTACTTCAGGAGATTAGACAGTGTGGAAGAAGAGTTTGCCATAAAGGGGAGCTAAGAAATGGAGTGGAGAGGGTGGAAGAGGGACACGTAGTCAAGGAGGGATTTTCTTTACTTTTGATTTTAGATGAGAAATAGTTCTATAACATGTTTATATGCTTTTGGGAGTGATCTTCTTCATAATCATCAAACACCTAGTGATTACATTCTGTGGCCTAAGTGGCATCTCAGACTTGACAGGATTCTCTTTCAGACATCTGTATGTGTTTTGTGAAATACTTGAATTATAAAATTACTAAATAGCGTTCAGGCTGGGCAGGCAGCCAGCCAGCCCTGGAATCACACTCTGGTCCTTCAGCTTCTAACCAGGTGATTATGAATAAGTTACCTGGTTTCTCTGAGCCCATTTCCTAATCTGCAAAATGATATTTTAGGTTTTTAAAACAGATATGTTAGCTGATGAACTGCACTGACTAGCATACTCACAGTATCTTTAGAGACAGTTTTTTCTTTGATGTCATTGTATATTATTGGAAAAGCCAGCTGTATTTGCTGCACAAAATATGGTCCATTGGCCAACAGAATTAACATCAGCTGTCAATTTGTTAGAAATGCAGACTGTTAGGCCCCCATGAGATCTTTGGGATTAGAAGAAGAACCCTAGATGATTTGTATACACATCAAAGTCTGAAAAGCAGTGATCTGGAAAGCAAGTATCTGCCCGCCCTGTTTTTCAGGTGTTCTTGGAAGAAGGTAACAGCTTCCACATTCTACCGTGCTTGTCATGTGAAAGTATTTTTTACACCTCGCCTTATTGTTTGTAAATGTTTCTCCATATGTGATAATCTTTTTTTTTCTAATTATTGAAATACAGATAATTAGGAAGGTTGATAAGCAGACCGCATTACTGGATGCAGATGATCCTGTGTCACAACTCCATAAATGTGCATTTTACCTTAAGGATACTGAAAGAATGTACTTGTGCCTTTCTCAAGAAAGAATAATCCAGTTTCAGGTACGTTTTAAAATTATTGGTAAAAATGTACTATCTTCCAGTTAGCAGCATACAGAAACCTAAAACTCTCATTTAATGTTAATTGTACCCAAATACATGAAGCTGTTTTCAGATATTTATCTCAAGTCCAAAGGTTCTTTAACCTACATGATCCTGAGACATGGCCGTCACCGTACCTCAAGGAAGAACTCAAAACGATAAAAATGTTCTTGGAGAAACAGTTAACATCTAGTTCTGGGAAATCGAAAAGTTCCTCAGATCTTTCAAAAGTAGATTTTGAGTGTTTGGTGAATCCACTGAAGCTGTGTGAAGACACTGTATATAGATACACATATATTTTGGGGGAGGGTTCATAATTATCAGATTTACATTGGGGTCTTCCTAGATGGTCATGACGAGATGTTTTGTAAGCTGATTTTTGACTACATTCATTCAGAAGTCTTTCATGAATACATCTGTGACATGGACAGATGATTTAATAGGATAATTATACTTTCATGTGAAACTCATTTGTCAACATCTGGAGACCTGTTTCAGAGAGGTGGCCACGTGCAGCCATTCTCCTCAGCCCGGAGCGGATGGACCGGTCTGGGTGTTTCAAGGTAGGGGTAGGGGAATGCCAGTTCACATCTCAGCTCCCTCCTGCTGAAAGTGCATGAGTTTCTAACTGCTCTTTAAGCTTGAGGGGTTCCTAGCTTCTTTCTTAGGGATCCATAAAGAGTTTTAATTAGCTATTTACATCACGAATTCTCATCTTTTATTAAAGAAATTACACAGGTACTGGCGTACTCTCAAATGGTCATTATGAAAGGTATTATTTTTAATATGTCACCAGAGTATTTCATATTATAATAAAAACTGCTGAATGTGAGGTTGCCAAATTAAATATTCTGTTTATGTTTATTTAGGGACTGGCAAAGCATCGTGTTTGGAAGTTCATAAATTTGCACTGAATTCTCTGCCTGTTAACTCCAGTGTACGAGTGCTACTTTGTTAAAATTGTCTTATACTGCAATGTATATAAAACTCGATTTCTAAACATTCTTTCTTCATAAGGCCACTCCATGCCCAAAAGAACCAAATAAAGAGATGATAAATGATGGAGCTTCCTGGACAATCATTAGTACGGATAAGGCGGAGTATACATTTTATGAGGGAATGGGCCCTGTCCTTGCCCCAGTCACCCCTGTGCCTGTTGTAGAAAGTCTTCAGGTAAGACCACTTACTCACAAGTTGACTTTTATTTTGGGGTGTTTTTGTTGTTGTTTTAAGATTTTATTTATTTATTTGACAGAGACAGCGAGAGAGGGAACACAAGTAGGGGGGGGGAGTAGGAGAGGGAGAAGCAGGCTTCCCATTGAGCAGGGAACCTGATTGTGGGGCTCAATCCCAGGACCCTGGGATCATGACCTGAGCCCAAGGCAGATGCATAACCGACTGAGCCACCCAGGCACCCCTATAATCATGTTATTTAAAAAGAAGAGTTTTGGGCACCTGGGTGGCTCAGTCATTAAGCGTCTGCCTTCGGCTCAGGTCATGATCCCAGGGTCCTGGGATCGAGCCCCGCATCTGGCTTCCTGCTTGGCAGGGGGCCTGCTTCTCCCTCTCCCACTCCCCCTGCTTGTGTTCCTGCTCTCGCTATCTCTCTCTCTGTCAAATAAATAAATAAAATCTTTAAAAATAAATAAATAAATAAGAGTTGTATTCATTTTTTTCACAAATCATAGTCAAATGAAAAACTGATCTGTGTACTTCAACGAAAAATGAAAATTTTTCTCAACATTGTTCTCATTTTCTGTGACTTTCAGTTGAATGGCGGTGGTGATGTAGCAATGCTTGAACTTACAGGACAGAATTTCACTCCAAATTTACGAGTGTGGTTTGGGGATGTAGAAGCTGAAACTATGTACAGGTACTTAATGAAACTTCTTACATCATCGGGAGTTTTTGATGGGGGTGGGTACATGAGGTTCATTCCAGTTGTGAAACGTACGTGGCTTCTAAGTGATTTTTGTCCCCCCCCCCCCCCCCCCCCCCCGCAGATGTGGAGAGAGCATGCTGTGTGTTGTCCCAGACATTTCTGCATTCCGAGAAGGCTGGAGATGGGTCCGACAGCCAGTCCAGGTCCCAGTAACTTTGGTCCGTAACGATGGGATCATTTATTCCACCAGCCTTACCTTTACCTACACGCCAGAACCAGGGCCACGGCCACACTGCAGTGCTGCGGGAGCCATCCTTCGAGCCAGTTCAGGCCAAGTGCCCCCTAATGAATCAAACACAAACAGCGAGGGAGGTTACACAAACGTCAGCACAAATTCAACCAGTGTCACATCCTCTGCAGCAACAGTGGTGTCCTAACTACCGTCTTTTTGCTAGGACTGAAACTGACTTGAGTGCGGCAAAATGGTGACAAAGAAGAGAGAGAGAAAGAAAAAGGAAAAAAAATGAACCATCTTTTGTGGTTTCTTGGGAAAACTTTTCATACCAGGTGATACTGTTCCAAAACCCCATTACCTACAAGTGCTGATTGGACGTGCAGAAGCCACAGTAAAACAGACAAGCAAAACATGGAAATGTACAAACTATTGGAATTCGGTGTTTTTTTCCAGCTGTTCTTTTTGTTTGGTTGGCTTTTGTTTGGTTTTGTTTAAATGGGCAAGAAATAGAGATGTGGCTGGAATAAAAGTTAATCAACCTAGAAGACACAAATCTAACATAGTTTTTACGGACCAAGGAACTTGCATAAGCTTTAGCAAAAGGTACATTTTCACCATACCTTTTTTTTTTATATCACAGTATCTAGTACACCTTTGTTACCAAATAGGTTGTTTTCCTCCCTGCCCCTCTTTGAGCTTCTGCTCTTCAGTACATTGAAGTTCCAAGCCTGACCATGCTTGTTTAATCTAATTACCATATTCTTCCAGGGTTTTTTGTTTTTGTTTTTATTTAAGGCTGGAACTATTTTTTTTTTTTTTTTAAGCAGATGTCTTAATGACTTTTCATGAGTCGAAATTGTTTTGATTTCAGCAAGTCAAATCTTGTAAAGGCCCGCATATTTTTTTTTTAAGATTATATGAAGTCTGTGCAAAAGCTTTAAAAAAAAAAATGCCTCTGCCTTGCCTGCAATACATGCAATGTACGTTAACTTCGTCTCTGTTCTCAGACACTGTCCATAGTTACTTCCTTGTTTTCCTTTTTTTTTTTAAAAAAGTATTTATAGCGGTATTCCAAGAGGTGGAATTAAATGTGGCCATTTAGTCCTTAATGAATTAATGGCGCAGAACATAGTATTTGGAGTGTTATCTCCCCTTTTCCCATGCGTAAATGTATCTCCATGTTTCAGGATTTGTTCAGGTCCCTTCCCCCACCTGTACCCCGCCCCCCCCACAACTCCCTGATCTTGTACATAACTTGTATTATGTGTAAGTTAAACATATTATTTTGAACTTGGAACGTTCCCAGTGATTTCATTCAGCAGGGTGTTTTCTGCCTTGTCGGCATATGACAAAAAATATATATATATATATCATGAGAAGTATTTGCTACCAGTTGGTAGATGGTGCCCTTATTGAGGAAAATCTCAGCAAAAGCATGTGTTTACTTTTTTTTTTTTTTTTGGTAGCCTAGGTCAAAACATTGTAACCTTAAAACAAGATGCTTTTATTAGATGACCAACTAAAATAGCTTGGAAGACAGTACTTTTAGAACAGATAGTTGTGAGATTATAAAACTGCAAATGTAATTTATCTTTTCATATCTCTCCTGCCTTTCGTTGTCTTCTCTTCCCCAGTACTGAGTGTCTCCACAAATGTCTCCTACTCAGAAAACATTTCTTTTCCATTCAGTTAAGATTTAGTTGGATTCAGGGTTGTGTGTTGGCCTCGGACGCTCGGCTCACCGATTTCACGTTGCTTCCCTTCCCTCACTTTGGTTATGCCTTCGTTCGGTTTCTCAGAAATTGCGGCCAACTCACTGGGCTACATTTAATACAGGAACCCTGTGTGTTAACTTATAGGACACAGTCTAGTAATACAATCATCCTTCTTAGAGTTAAAAACTACCTCTAGAATGTGGTAAGCTTTTACTGTCCCATAAAACAGGAGCCACAAGTACCTTATGAATGCAAAACTAACTTCCTGCAATGTTTCCAGACAGAACATTGTCTTTCTGGTGTCCTGGGCGATTTTGAAGACATTGTCATCGGAAGACTTTTTAAACATCTTATTAGTAGCCTTTTTTGTTGTTGTTGTCCCCCGAGCTTTGCTGTCTTCATCACCCATCCTTTTGCTCATACTATGTCATTGTGAATACGATTGCTAACCTCTCTCAATCACCTTTTCCTCGGTTTTCAAGGGGGAAGTCATCTGTAAAACACGTTAGTGGTTAAATCAAAGTTATTGTGGTTTTATCTTACTGCAAGCCTTTTTAATTACTCACAGGCTGCATTCTTCTCTCTATATAAGCCTTCTCTTCAGATCTGCTCCAGTCACTAGCTTCTCCTGTAAGCCAACCCAGCCTCACACTTTAAATCTGTTCCAGTGATCGAGGGCAGAATTGTGGCCTTATCTGTCTTTGTTTTTAACTGTTTACTAGCTGCTTCTTGCAAACTTGCTCATTTCCGAGTAGTATTTCTTCTTCTCTGTTGAGTCACCAAAGTAGTCTTTATACAGTGCTTTTCGTTCGGAGTGTGGAAATATTTTCAGTGCCGCTGTCCTTTGAATGGGCCACTCCCCAGGTTTGGTGTCTAGTTAGGAAACTGTGTTAAATTAACCGGTAGCAGATGAGATACTTTTGAAGAACAAACGATTCCTTACCTGTCTTTGCAGCTCAAATTAATTTTTCAAGTTGATGGCTTTATTAAAATGAACTTTGCTTTTTTACTATTTAATTATGCCTTATTTTGGCTCTTTGTTTCTTTTAATAAGATGATTTTGAAATATTAGACTGTAAAGCCTTTTCCCGTTTGTTTTTTTGTTTGAAAAGTCCAAGAATGTACTTACACAGGCATTTCCCTTGCTATTTTATGCCATTCTGCATACCACAAACTAAAGACTGAAATGATTTGTCTGTTGTACCTTATTTTAATCAATAGTTCTTTTGTCAGCTGCTTTTAAAAAAAATCTTCATGGATTGGTGAATCATTTTCAGTGTATAATTTATAGGAGCCTTGTCCTCTGGTTATAGAAGAACACAGCCCCTCCTCCGATGGCATTATTAGAGATGCTGGTCCTTTTTCCTCGTAACGACTCTCTTAGAATGGTGGCTGCTTCAGTTAGAGAACATTCGAGTTTGGGGTTTTGTTTTTGTTTTTCCATTCTGTTTTAGAAGTGTATCTTCTGCTCTCATGAGCTATGCAATTTCTAAAAATATGCTAGAAACTGAGTCTGTGATCCGGTATGTTTTTATTAGTTCCATTGAATTGATTACATAGATTGGGAAGGCAAGTAAAAGACTTTAAATGTAGAATGCCCTTTTGATTTTGAATGATTTCCCGAATTGAACACTAGGATAATATTTAACCTGCTGCTGACTTTTCTTCAACTGTGGCAACTAAAGGCATCCTCATTTATGTGTTAGTGAAGTATTTATCATTCTCTGCACAGACTTATTTGCGATCATAACTGGTTAGTTTTTCTGTGTGTGTGTGGTTTTTTTTTTTTTTTTTAATGAAATTGGTACCATCTGTGCCCTCACAGAATATTCCCAATGCAGTTTTTGAGAACTAAACTCCTCATGTTTAACCAGATAATCCACAGGGGGGAGGGGTTCCTTTTTTAAACAAAATGCTATTCAATTATTAACCAAGTTACTTACTTTTGATTTCAAAAGCAGCTGTGTTTTCTGATGAGTACTGAACAAACGTGTGTAATTTCTGTGCCAGACTTTTGACTTTGTTTTCAAGCACTGTAATGTGGGATGAATGATTAGAAACAATAATATATTAGGGTTTCTATTTAACCCTTTCAGGACTGAACTGTATCTCCTTTTATTAATTTTTCCCTGTGTTGTGATAAATGTTTGCCAGCATTCAGTACTGTGTTGGTCCAGATGTAGGTTTATATGCTCATTTTTAGCTTATTTCTTGTACCTTGCAGCATGCTCTACGCATTCAGTCCTTAAGGGGTTTATTTTATAAACTGTGCGCCTGTAAGGTTTATTAGCAATAAGATAGAAAATTGAGCAAGTTTATACCATAATTTTGTAGAAAAAAGAATCTGCTCAGTTCCATATTTCATCCATGAGAAACCTGCAATACCGCAGTTTCAAGGAATAAATAAAAAGGAAATGTAAACCATTGTAAAAGTCTTCTGTCGAATGTGCCTGATGCATGTATGACCTTCTTTTGATTTCAGAATACTTCATAAAGATACAATTAAATTACATATCACAGTTTGCGTATTAAAAATCTTAGCTTGCTATCTGCATCACATCAAAGTGATAGCTATGTGAATTTCTTTTTCAGTGTTTTTTAACTATGTCATACTTCCGAGAGAGAGAGAGTGTTTTGTGGTTCCCCCCCCCCCCCCCGTAATAAGGGGCTTTGTCACTCAAGGGGCGTATCCTCCAATTCAGGAACATTTCAAGCTACTCTCAACAAGATTAAAGAGTATTTAATTTAGCAGCAGCTTGCTTTCCAGTATAAAGTTGTCATTTGGTTTGCCGTACGGAAGAACATATAATGATGGTTTATGCTCTTTAGTGGGGGCTCCTAATTGGAGAGAGCCTTCTTTGTTTAATAGGGAAACAAAGTAAAGGGGGGGGCGTTACATATTTTTTAAATCATAGCAAGTTTTTTATCTGACTTCTCCCAAAAGAAAAAAATACGTTACCAGAATTTTACTAAAGACCTCTTACTCTAAAAATAGTGATTGTTAAATAAGAAACAATTTAGTTGGAAGCTTTTAAAGGTGGAGATTGATAGTGATTACTTGATGTAAAGTTTAGAAGAGCATAATCATATATTCCTTGCTCTAAATAGTACGTGAGCCCTTTCTAAGCAATCTTACCAAAGATCCATTAAGTCTATTTTCTTCTTCTTGTCACCAAACCCCTAGATGATTGCCATTTATAGAGATGCAGAGGGCAAGCTACATCAGGTTCTAGTGGTAAGTGATCACAGAAGGGAGTCTTCTCCTTTAAAAAAAAAAATCTAGAAGGATAGACTAAAAAGAAACCCTAGAAAAAGTTTAGTGCTGGGAAATCATGAGGGAGATGGATGAAGCCGATGTATGTAAAGAGATGATTTATCTTGACTTAAGGGTTACAGCCTAAACCAGAAGGCCAAGCGATAGCGCCTGAAGAAATGGACAGTCAGTCGTCCACATAGTTCTTTGTGTTCAGGATAAAGTCGTTTATGTGCCTGTCACAGAGATAGTAAGTAGTTGAGTTAAAGGTGTTAGGCTCATATATGTGGAAATCATGACTTATCTTGGTTCACTGAAAAGGCAGGTAAATATCCTCTAATACAGATAAGGGGGAAGGTTTTGACAACAAGGACCGTTCATACCAAACATAGATATAACTGTTGGATTTACAGAATGTTTTGCTTTTTGGCACTTTAAACTGGTATTCTCTGAAAAAAAATTGTTTAAAGGTATCTGTGAAGTTGAGGTGTATATCAAGTTCTTTCCGGCATAATGATTGTAGTCCTTGCTTTTCATCTCTTAAATTCTACCAGCTTACTTACTCGTACAAACGTGTAGGTCAGTGATTGCTGGCACCTTTATCTGGTTGGTCATTTCTCCTGGTGCTGGACAGAGTAGGGTCACTAGTATTTATTTAAATCCCGAACTTTCCATCTAGAAGCACCCCCTGCCTTCACCATATAAAGGAGCAAAGAGTGTAAGTAGGTGGTTTCCACAGTGGCCTCTGGGCAGTCCTTGATAGCTGTTCCTTTCACCTAGAACTAACTTTTCTCCTTGCAAGCTTCCTCTCTGTTATTCCTCACCACACAACACAAAGTAATGATAACTAAGTTCTTAATATGGCATTCAGATATTTAGATGATATAATGAAAAGTTTTGGGGGAAAATAATTGTGACTTCAAGGACAATGTCCTAGAGAGTTCATGAGCTTGAGAATTTGCTGGTAGATTCCAAAGGTGCAAATGGTGTGATTTGGGGGAAGAACTTCAGCTGAAGGATAATGGGATATGCGGCTGTTTGCTTAGAAACATGAATGTCCATCCCTAGTTCTGGATAGTGCCAGAAGTTCGGCTTTGTTAAGACACAAGTGGGAACTTTTAAATGGCCAGTAACAGTCTAGGCTCTGAGCTCTATCAGGGTGTTGCCATTTCTGAAAATTTCCACTAAGGGCTTGGCTTGGTCTGCTCGGGCTGCCGTAAGAAAATACCAAGGACTGGGTAGTTTAAACAACAGAAATTTATTTTCTCCCAGTGCTGGAGGCCAGATCAGGGTGCCAGCGTGGTCAGGTTCAGGTGACAACGCTTAATGGCTTGCAGCCAGCCACCGTTGCAGTGGCTTCACAGGGCAGAGAGAGACATCGGTCTTTTCTGAAGGCCACAGTCCTATCTGATTAGGGCCCCACCCTGAGGACCTCATTTAACCTTAATTATCTCCAGATGGAGTCATTGGGAGTTAGGGCTTCAACATGAATGGATGGAGTGGGGGCACAATTCAGTCCAGAGCAGGCTCATCCTAAAAACCTTCTGGTTTGCGGTTTAAACCACATACTGGATGTCCATCTAGATGACCGTATTTGGGTTTATAGCATCGTAAGTCCTGGTTGGGTTTTCTCAGTAGTTAGCTAAGATGATGAATGGACTGGGAGAAGTCACTTTGGCCGCTTGTAAATTGTTTGGTGGCCACTATGTAATCCTCACCACAACCCTGTGAGCTCATGCCTGTTTTAGAGATGAAGAGACAGGCCCAGGATCCTGCTCCTAAGTGCCACATTGGACTTCCCAAGCCCCAGTTACCTAAGGATCAAGGGACCCGGGTTACTAGGGAGTGGTTCTGTGACAAGTTCTGTCTTAAGGAACTTTATAGTGAACAGCTGTTCTATTTCAATCCTCAGATTTTGCAGTTGAGAAAAAGCCCTAGAGAAATTGAAAAATCCAAATGTAGTTGTAGGTTGAAAATGCTTTATAAACTCGAAAGAGCTATTCAGTTGCTAGGTGTTTATTATTGTTACTATTATTATTATGCTAATATCTCCGGGCTGACGTCTTGGCTAGTCCCCCTATCCAAGCCTTACTTGTAAATAATGTGCAAATTTCATAACCCTAGAGAGAATGAGCCTGTACACTTGAAAACATTTTCCATCTTCCAGGTGAAGATAATGGGTCTCATCTCTAACAGGTTTAGTAGCCAATTCTAACTTCACATGTTCCTGGACCCACTATGTTGGTGTTAGGAAGACCAGAGCTCAGAGACCAGGGTATGAATAGTGACCTGAGTGATTGGTGCTCAAATCATAAACATCGTTCCGCCACTGACATGTCTAGGTGGTCGATTCTGCAGCTCTCCACTATTCCTTTGTCCCATTTGTAAGTGGGGGGAAATGACACATAGTTATTAGAAGGGGCACAAATGGAAAGCCCTTAGCTGTGGTCCTAGCTCTGTTGAGCCTCAAAGTGCAGAACACCTGCTTCGGTTGTCCTCGGTGGGGTTCAGGAGTCCATTTGGCTTGGGTCGTTAGGATCAGTGTGAGTGTGGTCCTCAAGCCCGGTTGTTGCTTATTCATTCAAGAAAACCATGATAGGACTGTTTTGCATTTAATACCTCAGAGTTTTAAAAATGTACACCTTCACTGTGATGGCCATTGGAGTTAAAATCGTTCTAAAGTCAGAAACCAAGACCTGTTACTAGGGAAAGGGGATTTTGTAAGAAAAGCAGAAGCCCACAGGATTGAAGGGACGCCTGAATCATGCTTAGAAATAGAACCCCTGTGGGTTAACCCAGGAGCCTGCTTTGTAAGAGTGGTCTGTTCTGGGAGCCACTGCCCCTCTGCATTCCCTGTCTCATTCCTAAGTCATCTCCAGATGCGGTTTTGCAGATAACAGCAACTGGTCATGTGAGCCTAGGTCACTGGCACTTGCTGTGCATTTAGAGGAAAGGTCAGTTAAAAGGAACCTCTAGGGCCTCTTTTGGTTCCCGTGTTGAGTCCTGACTATCAGTAGGGAAAGAGATAATCACCCACAAAGGAAATTGAAGTTGCCAGGATGGGGGAACAGACACTAGGCAATCACTCTAGAGGGCTACAAACAGTATATTCTGTAATAAAGTGTATTAAGTGTATTCTCTGTGCTAAAGCCTTTACGTGAAAACCTCTCTTATTCCTCAAATTCCTATGAGCCAATTTAGTAGGCAGTTTTGAGAAGGATGCTCAGATCATGAGCCACATTAGGAAAAGCCCTCCCATCTCCTCTGGCCTTTTAACCTTTAAAAAAAGCTCCTTGCACAGGATGGGCTCTTGGGAACTGTGTGCTTTTTTTTTTTTTTTTTTTTAAACCCCATGGTAGCTGATCGACTCAGGACCACTGAAGGAACTTCCTGTCGGGTTCTGCAGGTGATTGTGCAGGGAGCAGATGGGAGATCACATGGGCCTTGTTTTGACATAGGAACTGACATGGGAAGGGAACTGGTTTATAGGGAGCATGAAGCAGACACCCAAAGAAAATTGGTAGCACTCCCAATTCCACCCCCTTACTAGACTTAACTAGATTCCTGCTCTTGAGTTCCCAGAGGTAAAACCCATTATCCTTATCATTGCCCTTCAGCGCTTGAGTTAACTTGAATAGGTTTTTATTACTTGTTACTGGTGTCCTGACAGGTAAGTCTTACTGTTGTTACCTTAATTTTACCAATGAAGAAATTAAGAAAAAGAAAGGCAAGGGTCATTTGCAGCGTTCCACAGCTTCAAGTGGCAAAGCTGAGACTCAAACCCAGGCGCACTGGACCTGGGTAATTAGTTGGGGTAGATAAGGGCTTGGAGGCACTACTAAGATGCCTCCAAAGAGCAGAGAGAAGGTAGCGTTTGAACAGTGCCTCAGAGAGAGAGGCATTCAGGATTTCAGCAGGTAAGTGCTGGGGTTCGGACTAATGGAAGGCAAGGAGCTGGGAGCGTCTGGGTGTGCATGGTCAAGGGCGAGTTCTTCAGTGTCACAGGACCATGGGGGTACTAGTGGGGCGTGGGAATTGGTTGTTACATGGTTTTGTATAAATATGACAGGTTACCAGGGTCAGATGGGTAGAATCTCTAGCTATGTCTGTTAGGGGAAAAACCATTCTCTGAGCCTCATGTCTTTCCTTGTGGAATGGAGTGACCCTTCATT